TTTTGTTTTATTTTGACACCATGGTCTGAAAATTTCGTTTTATATGGTATACTCGTAAATGCAAAAGCAAGGAGAGACAATGCCTTCCTCGGTTCTTCCTAAATAGTGTCACGAGCTGTCCCCCATGCTTCAGTACTCACTTAACATATAGTCCATCTAATCTAAGAGGTACCGTTTGACAGTTCTGACAGATGGATGGGGGTGAGGGTTAAAGAAATCAACTACTATAATATCCGATTATTAAGAGATTTTGATATCATTTTTGTGTATATAAAAATCGATTACACTTTTACAGATTTATGAATGTTACTATAAAACCCCGTATATTAACTATTTATTAGATTTATTATTTATATACCGATTAATTGACAGAATTTTATTAGAGAGATCATTTTTCGCGCCTTTCAGTCCTGAGCAGATCTGATCCAGGCCAGATTTAAATAAATATGAAAACGAATGATTTTACCTACAAAGATTAATTTAAAATTAAATTAACTTACATATTTTTAATTTTAATTGGGTATACGTTTTCGTTAACAGTTGGATGCCAGCTGAAATTTAAGTAAGTATCATTACAAAACGCGGCAAATAACTTTGCGCCAACGAAGTTTGCGCGAGTAGCGTTCAGCAAAACAATTGAACATGCTTTAACTCCGTGTGGTGACGGATTAGTTGACTTTTTGGTCCGTGTGGTGACGGATTAGGTCCGTGGATTAAGAATACAGAGTGTCACCACCCCTATTCATCCCGTAGGTGTCGTAAGAGCCGACTAAGGGAAAAAACTACGCAGAACAACAGCACGTCACAGAGAAGGAAAACTTGACACAAACCCTATACGAACCCGTCTGGCCAACGTGGTATAGTAGGCCAAAAAATCCTTTCTAAGGAGAGGCCAATGTCCAGCAGTGGACTAGTAAACAGTGGACTGTTGTTGATGATGATGATTGATGACGCTTTAAGTGAGTAAATTGCTTGCAACTGTTTTGTACCGATGTACTGGGAAATACTAAAATAATAAGTTTTAGTTTTTTGTCACCTTAAATAGACTAAATATTGAACATAATTCTAGAAGTGTCTATTCATTAATAATGTATATATTCCCTAGTAGTCCGGAGTTGTTACCAAAAGCGTGAAATGTTTTTTATTTGTTTGCCACTTTAGTTAGGTTAAGTTAGTAGGCTGTTTTCGTAACACATATTCAGGATACAATTATGTAGTAACAATTTTTCTTGGTAATCTAATAATTTACGCAAAGAGTACATAAAATGTATTTTTATGTTCAGCACATTTGTTTGTGTCGCACTAACTAATTGCCAACTAAATACTAACTTCATAGGCACAGACTTGTATGGCGCGTATTGTAAATACTAAAAGACGTCTGGATTGGAAATGGTAGGTTATTTATAAGTTCGATTACTCGTACACTTTAACGATTATTCGTATTCAAGTGAATTTGAAGAGTCGCAACACTACGGTAAAGGACATAACTAAGTGACTATGAAACTAAGTCTAAAAAAATTCTATCTGTTGTATATTTTGGTTATTTTGCTTTCTTTAAAATATTTAAATTTAAATTTGGTTATTGAGAAATATAAGTATTGTAATAAAATAGAAATTGCTGTATAATTCCATGGTTTATTATAATTTTGTGAGTTACGTCTACTTCTTAGATTAGATGGACTATAGTTGTAGAAAATATACAGGTAACCCGTCTCTTTGTTCGCCGTCCATACCATAAAAACACGCTGTTTAAAAGCATGAACTCGCTTCTAAAGAAATCTTAAAAATACACAATTTCCATATCCAACTTTTTCTATTGGCAAAAAGAACATCACTGTCATTTAAATTGGTTAACAATAGGGACCATAGTTGCGATAAGTGGAATCAGACAGGAATTAGTCACTTACAGACGACACGTCCTTTAAATTGTATGTACATCGCACTTTTTCAAATCGCATGTCTAAAAATTCCTCAACAAGGGACTTTTCTTGATATTGATAATCAACGAAAAGTCAAATTCTAGTCTTTCTATATGAAATTAAAGTAATTAAAATTTTATATGAATGCAATCCATAATAAATTGGTAGTAATTAAGCCGGTAGTCGGTTTTGGAAGAAAGTGATAATCATTAATAAAAATTCTAACCCTTGGCATATGGCACTTCTCATTCATTTATCGTCAATCATTATTTTTTTACTAATGTTAGTAGCATTCTTTATTAGTGTCCTTGTTACATGTAAATTAATAATGTATTTTATAGAGCCCACTGTATCAGAATTGTGAATGGTAGGAATACATGAAAAATTATTCTCTAAACAAAACAAACTTCCCCTCTGGACATACAACAGAATGAAAACGAAAATAAATTCATAACATTACCATACTTTTACAAAGTTCTGCTCTCCATAGCAAAATGTTTGCACTTGGTAAACTTTTTGCTGAAACCAGAACGTTTTTGTTGGTTTTAACAAAATTGGTTTGGTTTGACAAATATTTGCTCTCTTTGGATGTTATTGGTTTTATAGAACACATTCAATATCCATGCCATGCCAATAATATCCTGTTAGTAATCATCATCGTCATCAGCCTTTAATAGTCCACTGCTGAACATAGGCCTCTCCTCACAAAGGAGACTTTGACTGGCCAGACGGGTTGTTATAGGGTTTGTTTCAAGTTTGCTCTCTTAGTCACTTCTTACGACACCTACTATGAATATATTGACACAGATTACAGTAAGTACAGTTATTACAGAAGTAGTGACACTCCGTATTCTTAATCCGTCACCATACGGACAGCTGTTGCCTGTTAGCAGCAAATGCATTAATCTTTTCAAACTCTTTTCAAACCTACTTATCAATGCGTACGGACAATGCTTACGCTTATTTTTAACATGATAAAATTTTGCCATATACCAAACAAAAAGAGAGAACAAAGGATACTCTTTAAAGGAATAAGGAAGTACATGAGACTATATTACTCAGTGAAATAGAAAACCGTACTGCAAATTTTAGGCCCTTATTTTAAAAGACGTCTCAAGTATCGGTTGAGCTCTGATTGCCTGAAACTAGTTTTAAGTGCAGATCAAAACTTAAGTATCGATCTTACACGTTTTAAGTTTTACTCAGTTGAAACTAGTTTCAAGTATTGATTTGGAATTACCGTCTATTTGCAATTACGTTTCCGCATGATTTACATTATTATTCCGTATTACGCAGCTAATTTTTTTTTTAAATAATTTTATTTTACAAACAAAACTTCTGTGAATTTTTAAATATAGTACACTATTGGCTAGTGTAGTAACGTTAACATATTAACCAGCTTGTTGTTCGTCCAAAATTTAATATAATAAATATTAAAATAAAAATGACTAGATATAGGATATAGGCTATAACGGAACGTTCAAGGTATTTATCAACACTTGTTTTGTTGAAATATCAAACAATGTTTTTATTTTAATTTTTCTAAAATTTATATTACTAGACCAATATTATACTTTTACCATAAACCAAAAGGTTATGGTGATTTAAATTTAAAGAAGTATTCTGTGTGTAAAATGTAAATTTCAGTGAATTTAATATCAATTAAGGTAAATTAAAGTGAATTGACTATAGTATAACAAGTCAGTCTAAATCTTTCGTAAGTATTCAGAAACAAATAATCGTAAAACACATTAATTTCGCCTAAAATGCCCTAGAAATCACCGCTTGAGTCTAGTTTCAGCTTGTCTCATGTAAACAAAGATCACAGCTGTCAAAATCTATACCTGAGTAAAGATTTCGTCATACACATCGTAACATGTAAAATCTTGTTTAAAATAAGCTATCACTCACTAGAATACGGATCGGTGAATCTCGTTTTAAGTGACATTAAATAATAAAATCTCTTCTTAAAATTTGTTTTAAGACTAGAATCACAACTGACACACTTTTTAAACTACGGGCCTTAATGACAGTTCTAATGGTCAATTCTTTACTACCGTGATACCAAACATAACAACTCTTGGTCCTATGAAAGTATTACTATAGAAAGAAACTAATATTAAATTTAGTGCAATGATTGCCCATACTTTACATATTATGAAAAAAATTCCTTTATCAAACCTTACTTGATTTTTTGTTTATTTGTGTATGTTGTTATTTAACTTTATTTTATTTTTGTATGCTGTGTAAAATAAATAATATTCTATTCTATTCTATTCCGTTCCGTTCAATTCCATCCCATTCCATTCCATTCCATTCCATACCATTCCATTCCATTCCATTCCATTCCATTCCATTCCATTCCATTCCATTCCATTCCATTCCATTCCATTCCATTCCATTCCATTCCATTCCATTCCATTCCATTCCATTCCATTCCATTCCATTCCATTCCATTCCATTCCATTCCATTCCATTCCATTCCATTCCATTCCATTCCATTCCATTCTATTCCATTCTATTCCATTCTATTATATTCTATTCCATTCTATTCCATTTATATGGATGTAAACACTAAACCGATTTAAAAAAAAATCTTTCACCAATGAAAAGCTACATTATCAGCGACCAATATTGGCTACCGCCGCCGGCAAAATCTAGTCTATAATATAAATATGGAAGTATGGATTGGATTGTAGGTTTATATATAGTAGGTACGGAACGGTAATATATGTATTACGTTCCCCTACAGGAGCCGTGTTTTTGTTGCACATTATTTCTAGAAATCCGGCTGTGACAGTTAGTAACATGCGATATTAAGAATGGGTATAATCAACGTCAAATGGACATCAAGATATAGATAAACCGAGTTGTATATAAAGCTGAACTTGCACTACACAAATCAGACAATAGAAAATGTCACTCATTATTATAATTTCACTGCTGTTTTACACGGGGAGCTGTCACATAGTACCGATACAAAATAGAACTCCTAATCAAGAATTACTACAATGTGTAAAGAATATAGTGTCGAAATACTTCGTTGATCAAAAATTAATTACGTATTACATCGACAACACAATGGAAGATTTCGAATTTCTTAAAACAGTTCAAGTTTCAAACAACATAGCAATGGTATCAAATTATTCCAGTCATAAATTAAACATTCCTTACAATGGATATTTTATAGTTGCATCAAATTATACCCACCTAATTGAACATATAAAAATCGCAGCAAAGAAATTTAACTGGAATCCTGAAGCACGTTTTTTAATCGTCGTGAAATTGCTCCAAGATTTCCATTTGAAGCATGTGTTTAACACACTTTTGGAGAAGCACGTACACAACACTGTTATAATAGACGGTTCCTCAGAGGGATATTTGTACTCCTATAATCCTTTTGCTAACTACAGATGCGGTAAACACTACGATGAAATTACCAGCTATGGCAAATGTTCAGAATCACACACGCTAAACCTATACCCCTATAAATACGTCACCGGTCTACGAAATTGTACCTTGAACGTATTTGTACCTCATTGGCCACCCTATACGATCGTTCCTGATAACCGAAACAAAACGTGGAATGCCCTTTCTTACGGCATTGAGATATATTTTTTACATTTAATTGGTAAGAGGCTTGGATTCACTTTGAATATTACTCTAGCCGAAGATAAGTATGAGTCGTTTTCTACGGTGTCTTTAGACATGGAAGCTGTGGGACATCTGAAAATGTTGCAAGACAACCAAATAGATATTGCTTTAGGTGGTCTGGTATTAGTACCTTCTCGAGCTGCCGCTTTTAAATACGTATATGATCTTCTTCCTTACGATGACGAATTAAAATTTGTGGTTAAAAAAGCCCAGTTGGTACCAGTCTGGAAAAATCTTTACCTGGAATTCGACACAATGGTATGGATACTTGTCGTATTTTGCATCATATGTTACTCAATATTGATGACATTTCTTATTCGCGCCAAGGATAAAACTTATGTAGTGTACAAACTCCTTAACAATTTAGTGCTTCATAGCTGCAAATTTCACTGCCAGTCAATAACGAAATGCATATTTATTATATGGGTATGGTTTGCATACTTAATTAACGTATTTTATACATCCAGTCTGGTTAGTCTTACCACCAACCCTGCAAGAGAACCTCAGATTTTAACGGAAACTGATATTTTAAGACATAAGTTGAAGCCATGTTTTAGTGAAATAACACGAAATTATTATCAGGAATCATCACAATTGACTGACATTGACAATGGCACCATACCAGAATGCAACACTATTCCTGGTAGCATTCAGAAGGTAATAGAACATAACGAATATTATACAATTGTTCTTTTTGGGTTCTATTTATACAATAGGTCAAATTATTTGGACGACTATGGAAAATCTCAAATTTATTCACTAAGTCCACCTTATTCTAAAGTTATTTACTGCATGTACTTTAATAAAGGGTTTCCATTACTTAACGAAATAAGCATAAGTGCACTTCGAATCAGGGAGATGGGTTTAGTGCATCAATCCAAAACATACTTGAATTATCTTAGGACTCTGAAATTGAATGTGCACTTTGACGAATTGACCCGAGCATCTGTAAAACCTTGGAGTGTTTATTTTTTAGGAATTATAGTTTCTTTTTTCGTGTTTGTTATAGAAATAATATCTAATTAAATAGGACTCAACCTGCACTTGGTTTTTGTTTGTTTGAGAAATTTATTTCAGCTTCAAGCCACATTTTTAAGATGGTCTGTCAAAATTGAATTAGCTAAAATCATACAGAATCATAGTGTCCGTGTGGTGACCGATTAAGAATAAAAAGTGTCACCACCCCTTTTCCTCCCAGGGTGTCATAAGAGGCGACTAAGGGAGCAAACTACGCAGGACAACAGCACTGCAGGGAGAAGGAAAACTTGAAACAAACCCTATACTAACCCGTCTGGCCAGGGTCGTATAGTAGGCTAAAACCTCTTTTCTAAGGAGAGGCCTATGTCTAGCAGTGGACTTGATACAGAATTCGTTCAACTGATCTTCGGGTTGGTGTCACAGGTATACCTTAGAAAGGAAATCCCTGTGAACCCTGATAGACTTAATTAACTGATAAGGAGTGCGGGAAAAATGCGGAGGTTGCTGCCTTTTTCTCATTTATCATGATGCCATTTCTCAGGCATATTTCTGCCAGAATATTATATAGTTTTCCGTTATCCTCTCGCAAAAGCGCATAAAATCTAGAGAAATTAAGAACTTACGGGAACCGCTTTTTATAGATTCTAAGGTAGACCAGAAATCTATTTGATAATTTTATAAAATGATGTCGTATGATGATGAAGCAAATACCAATTTTAGTGTAAAATGTCTCTTCTATAAGAACGAAAAATGAAGTGAGTCTAATTTCATCTACACTCTTGGCTCTGAGTATAACCGGCAGAGCTTGCTACGAATATCCACAAAGAAGCCTTGTATTATAATAACACGACTAAAAAAGAGCGGTCACAGTGAGTTCATAGCAAATGACCTCACTGTGACATCTCTTTTTATCTTATAGTCTTTGACGTTATATTATAACTCTTTAATGCTGACACTGCCTTACAATTTGCAATGGTAGCTCCTCCATGATTATTAAACATTACATTTTTGCGAAGTATTTATACTCATTGGTACAATCTGAATTTTCTATGTGCTAAACAATCAACCCGTTTCCCATTTGTGAATTTAGGTACTTCACTACATTAAAAGACCACATCAAATAAATATACTTGTGTAGAGTAAAAAATACCTTTAGAAAAAAGTTTGTTTGTTTATTGCACTTTACGCCTAAACCACTACACTGATTTTAAAAATTATTTTACTAATGGAAAACTACATTACTCGCGAGTAACATAAGCTACTTTTTACCCCAATAACCAACATGCCAGCGGTGGGAGTCGCAGGCAAAAGCTGGTAATAAATAAAACCATGCTACTCTCCGGGAAAGCGTCGTTATTATTCTACTACAGTTCCTAATCAATTTTTTCGCTTCTAAAACGCTTCTGTTATTTCTTCACGATTCTTCAGGATTTAGGTCCTAGACACCAAAGTCCTAGACACGTTCGTTCTATAACTTTAAGCAGCAGACTTTCCCCCGAAGAAGTACAAGCCCTTATCAACAGCCTTTAATAGTCCACTGCCATAGGCCTCTCCCTAAAAATGAGGTATTGGCCTACTATAGCACGTTGGCCAGACGGGTTGCTAAAGGGTTTGTTTCAAATTTTCCTTCTCCTTGCAGTGCTGTTGTCCTGCGTAGTTTGCTCCCTTTGTCGACTCTTATGACACCCACCGGATGAATATGAGTGGTGACACTCCGTATTCTTAATCCGTTACCACACGGACACAAGCCCTGAGGCACGAGTAAAGGGTTTTCCAACAAGAGGTGTTATTTTGAATCGGTATTTCGGTAGCTGTCACTTTTGAAGCTTTTATTTTTTGACATTTGACAAGTAGAAACTACGCCATTACTAAAAATGGAACGATACACACTTCAACAACGCATTGAAATTATTAAAAATTCACTACAAAAATGGTGAAAATCTTGCAGTCACAGTTCGCAAAACTAAACCATTTTTTGGTCGTCGTGAAGCACCTTGTCGGACCGCAATACAGAAATTGGTGGAAAAATCGAGCTGTTGGGACAAGTTAGTGATGTGAAGAATAAAACCCGTGCACGTCGCTCAAGAACAACTGAGAATATTGCTGCTGTAGCCCAAAGTGTTGAAGAAAACGCAGGTTTGTCCATTCCTCGTCGTTCTTTGGAATTGGGCATTCCACAAACGTCATTACACCGTATTTTGCATAAAGACTTGGGTCTTAAGGCATATAAAGTTCAGTTAACACAAGAACTCAAGCCGGCCGATCATCAACAACGTCGTGTTTGCTGATTGGGTACTTGAAATGCATGAAAATGATCTGAAATTCCATCGAAAAATCGTCTTGACCAATGAGGCCCATTACCACCTAGGAGGCTACGTCAACAAGCAAAATTGTCGCATCTGGGGCTCGGAAAATCAGAAAAAGTTATTGTTGAGAAGCCTCTCCATCCTCAACGTGTGACTGTTTGGTGCGGTTTATGGTCCGGCGGGGTCATCGGACCTTACTTTTTCGAAAATGAGGTTGGATCAACACTTACGGTGAATGGATTGCGCTATCGAGATATGATTAATGATTTTTTATGGCCGGAGTTGGATGGTATTGATCTGGACAACGTTTACTTTCAGCAAGACGGCGCTCCGTGCCACACAAGCAACGAAACCATTGCTCTTTTACAGGAAAAGTTTCCTGACCGTGTTATCTCTCGAAGAGGTGATCACAATTGGCCACCGAGATATTGTGATTTAACACCTTGCGACTTCTTCCTTTGGGGCCACGTGAAAGATAAGGTCTACGCCAACAGCCCAGCGTCGATTCAAGACCTCAAAGATGGAATTCGTGAGGCTATCGAGGACATAGGGCAGCCACTTTGCGATTTGGTTATGCAAAATTTCATTAAAAGGATATGGTCCTGTAAGCGTGGTCGTGGTAGCCATTTGGCTGATGTTATCTTCCATTATTAACGGCATACCTTCCTCTTTATTATAAAATAAACAGCCGATTATTTATCTTAAAAAAATGCATTTTTCTTTGAATACTAAAATAACACCTCTTATTGGAAAACCCTTTACAAGCTCTGGAGCAGCAGTTTTGATAGAGTAAATTGTGACCGCAAAGCGAACACTTTGTTAACTTCATTTACAACAATTATCTAAGTAACGCCTATTAGGGTACTGTAATTAGAAGCCGAATAATGTTTAGTCTTCATTAATATTTTTGGATTACAGTATGTGGGTTGTTTGCTTACTGAGCTCCCTGTTTTTATTAAATGGACAATGTCATTTATTAAACTCACAGACTCGAGACGAGCACCAAGAACTGTTGACGTGTATTACTGACATTCTTGACCAGTACTTTGCTGAAAACTTTGAACTCACTGTCGTCAATATACATTCTCATGAAGATGATCTCTTGAAGACCATACATTCGACAACAAACTTTGCATTGATAACCAGAATACCGACCCAGAGAATGTTAATACCTAATATTGGATATTTAATATCCTCAGAGGATGTAGTCGATTTTTTGGAACACTTTCACTATCTCACACAGGAGCGAACATGGAACCCACATGCACGATTTTTAATCGTCATAAAATTGCTTGAAAAGCTTCATCTACAACTGATATTCAATGAGCTGTTGATTCGACGTGTACATAATGTGATAATAGTAAATGGTACTGAACACGCTCACCTCTACACTTATAATCCATACGAAAATTATGCTTGTGGCTTCTACTATAAAGGCGTTACACACTACGGCCAGTGTTCAACTACTACTGATAATCTATATCCAAACAAACTAGCAACTGGACTTAAAAACTGTAATTTTAGAGCATTACTTGCACATAGACCACCCAACAGTATTGATCCGACGAAGATAAATTACAAGAAAACTTTATTGGGAATTGAAGAATATGTAATCACCATACTGAGTGAACTTGAACACTTTACAGTCACTTTCAACTACAGTTTCGACGGTGACTCGTATTCTAGGGTAGCACCTAATATGACAGCGATTGGTCATATGGCTTTGCTACAAAATAAAGAATTCGATATTGCGTTCGGAGGACTACTGATATCAACATCACGAGCGGATGGTTTCTCTTATCTCCACGGTCACTATGATTACGCCAATGAGTTATTATTCGTGGTAAAAAAAGCATCTTTAGTGCCCACTTGGAAATATATTTACCTCGAATTCCAACCCATGGTTTGGGTCTTGCTACTGATAGCCATGATAATATACTCAATCATTCTTATAATTTTGCTCGACTCAAAAGATAAAACTAAGGTCGTTTTGCGACTGTTGGAAAATTTAATTTTGCATGGCCGCGATCTTCGCTCACGCCTGTCAGTAGTGTCAGTAAAGTGCATATTAATAACATGGGTAATGTCTACGTACTTGATCAATACTTTTTACCAATCTAGTCTGTTTAGTTTAACCATATATCCAAGCTCGGAGTACCAAATATCAAATGAGGGCGATTTAATTAAATATGATGTCCAACCCTGCATGGCACCAATAATTCGCGATTATATTGTCAATGAAATGGATCCAAATTCGAAAGAAGTTTACTCACGAGTAGAAGGATGTCAGAATTCAACAGAATCTTTGCGTACAATCCTCAGCTCAACTGAAAATTACTATACATTTGTTGCAAGAATTACTTATTTGTTCAATAAACCAGACTACATGAGCACGTGGGGAGAACCTTTGATTTACCGTTTTCAGAAACCCTTTATAAAGTACCTGTACGGATATTTTTTCCATAAGGGCTTTCCAATCACTCAAAGTCTACAAGTAAATACGTTACGATTAAGGGAAAATGGACTGACAGATAAGATTTCAAATGAACACTATCACCAGCAACGCTTAAAGAACAAGAAAAGATTTACGGAAAAACCACCCACGGCAAATTTGGTGGTTCCTTGGGGTCTTTTAATTACGGGATTTATAATATCTACAGTTGTCTTTGTGGTGGAGTTATTGATTAAACATTCAAAAGGGGTTAAACGTGTAATTTTAAGATTTAAATAATACCTTTTGCTGTTATAATAATGTGTAACAATGTCTTATGTCTTCTTCTTCAAATGCTTCTCCGACTAAAGAAGTTTGTCAGTCAGTTCTGTGTATTCTTTTTTGTTTGCCGAGGCGAAAGATATCGGTGGGAATCAAGAGAGCTGCCGATCTCTATAGACGTATATGAAATGTGAAAACAAATAGTCTCCGTTAAATTCATGGATATAGCTATTATTATATTATAACAAATCTACAATCCTTAAGGTTCGTGTGATTGTTGTTTTGTTATTGTGCAATGTTGCAATATATTCATATAAAGTGAGGTTATTATAGACTCTAGTATAATAAGGGACTCCCTAATTTGGCTATGGGGGTCTGTGGGTCTGACCACAGACCCCCATAGCCAAATTACTTTAATTTTTTTCCTATTGATACAATATACGTATAAATTGAAAAACTTTGCCGTTGGTTAAGTGAGTAAACTTGACATCATTTTCTTATGAAAATTAAACACAATAATTAGTCAATCTTATAACAAGTTGGTTCACGTAACACAACATATACAGTATCTTGAAAGTTTCAAATCAGAACTTGTGTTAATTAATAGGGGTCGATTTTTAGACCTTGTCGATCCCCAACCTTAGTTTTCGTTTATGTCGACCACTTGGGGAATCCCTGCTCAAGAAGATAATTATAATATAAGCGCTCTCCCTCTGGAAATCTGGATGGCACCCAGCCGCCACTTATTCAAGATGAAAGTTCGAGCTCGCATTCTAAACACCCTAGCAGATTCATTAAAACCTTAAAGTTTTATATATTATCAATATGTACGTTTATGTATGTACGAGTATGTAACTAGGTAAGTATTTATTTATGTGTATGTTTATTTGGTTTGGCTCATTGTTTCTGTCTAACTTCTCAAGAATTTTCTCTTACTTTACATACAAATCTCTAGTGCACCTAGTCACACATTTCAGCACCACCCTAAGGTAGACTGGGAGAAAATGCCTGTGGCATTAAGTCCGCCATTGTGCATAATGTATTAAAAAAAAATACCATAATAATATATCAACATTAATAAAAATAAAAGGAAGAATTATTTGTTTTTTTTTATTATTTTGTGCAAGTCATTTGGCTGCTTATCAATTAGTAGCATCGTGTTACAAGGTTCAGTCTCGTTAGAAGTTGTTTTTTTAACGCCACCAAAAATATATTTCTTTTGATCTAATATAAGATAGAATATTAATATAAAATACTTCATTGAAATTAAATCATCTAGTTATTCCTTAAAAGAGTGTGTTATAAATGTCCTGATGAAGAATATTCGATGTAGGCGATTCGTGACGTCCGTTTATAAAACCGCTCGTCATCACCAACGCCACTTGTCTGTACTAGGTAGGTATCAGATTTGCTAATAACTGGCTAGTACGTAACTCTATGAGTATCTTCGATCTAACCGTGGCCGCGTCTTGCCATAATTTTACAAACTTTGCGGGTTAAAAACGGCTTCTTTCAATATTAAATCTATTCGTAACTAATATGTAGGGGAAGGTGGCCCAAAACGGGTGGGCCGCCCAAGACGGGTAAGCCCTCGTATATTGTTGTATCAAGCATAAGTGTCAATGTGTGCTTGTGTCGAGAGTTGCCGAACATTGACGAGTTTCGATCAGTTTCGCTCAGGCGCCGGAGTCGCGTAATGGCGTAGGTGTGTGCAACGAAAGTTTTAAAGTGATTTTGTTAAAAAAATTCAAGGTAAGTGTCTCGTAATTAGTCGAAAACCTTTATAATTCTCATATTATTAGTAGTACCGTTTCATTCAAGCACTATCTAACTTTAATTTAAGGTAAAAAGTTTGCCCCATTTACCTTTCATTTTGACGTTATTATTAATTTACAAAAAACATGTGCTCTCGGGCAAAACGGGTAGGGCAAAACGGGTACATATATGAGAGCAGCTAGTGCGTAAAATGCTATTAATGGCTTTAAATCAACTGGAATATGGCCTAAAAATTGTCACATATTTGATGAGTCAGACTTTTTGCCATCTACTTTGACGGACCGCCCTGAACCATCTTCTTCAGGCGCTATAGAAAACTCAGCAACCTCTAATTGTGCATCCCAATCTGCACTTCCACGTGGAGAAACATCTCGTATCTCTTGACTCTGACCGCACTGTCTCTCCATCTGTTTTGGAAAATGAAAACTTTAACCCCATCGATGACGTGACTGGAACTGTTGTCATTCAATGTCTAATAGAAAAAAATCTAAACCCTGCAGAAATTCAAATGCCAAATGCAGATGAACTGGCCTCCAACCCCATCATTGCCGTTTCGTCATCAAATAAAGCCGTAGAGAAAGACATCAATCAGATGGCTGCCCAGGATCCACTAGCCGAAAACGTCATCCTTTCATGTTCTACACCAGTGAAATCGATTTCTCTTGGACCAGTATCTTCGCCATCAGCATCGTTGGTTCATGTGAAACCTGTAGACATTAGACCAATGCCTAAACTGAGCCTAAATAAAACAAATCGCAAGCGGAAGATTCAAGAAGCTGAAGTGTTAACCAGTACACCAATAAAAGAACAGCAAAGAGAAAAGGAAGAAAAGAAAAAACGTACAAAAGTTGCTGAAAAGAAAGCATCTCTGACGGCAAGGAAAGTTGGCAAAAACATCAAAAATATGCCTTCTACCAGCAAAACAAAGAAAGGGAATACTAAAGGTACGCAGAAAAAGTCGGAAAGAAAATATGTTTGCTTGGTTTGTGATGACCCTTATATGAATCCACCTGGAGAAGACTGGATCAAATGTGGAGACTGTAAAGAATGGGCTCACGAAGCATGTACTGCTTATTCTGGTATAGGTTCCTATTTTTGTGATTTTTGTCAGGAATAGTATTTAACTTTGAATCTACAACGTTGATTATTATGAAAGTTTTAATATGTGTTTCTATTTTCTTTATAAGTTTGATCCCAATAATAGGTATCTCTAGACTGATTAAAAGAGCCTAAATATAGTTTTGTATCTAATGTTATTCATAAAAGATAAAGATTATTTTACGTATGTATAATGTTATGTGACTGAATTTGTTATATGCTAATTGCCAAAATGTTAAATAAGGTTCAATTATTAGCTTCCTGCCTTTTATAATTATGATTATAGTTTATTTGATCATGACACTTACCCGTTTTACCCTAGACTTACCCGTTTTGCCCAAAGGAGGTTACCCTTTTTAGGCTCATATGCGGGCAAAACGGGTTTTTGGAAAGGATTTGTATTTTTTTTATTAAATTAATATTTGATACAATATATTTTCAAATAGTGTTTTATTTTCAAGTTCGATAAATACCCTATCTTATAAAGTAAATCCAGCTAATTCCTAACATGATTTATCACTTTTTTTTATCTTCGTTCTTAGCTTACCCGTTTTGGGCCACCTTCCCCTACGTTGTTATTCCATCTCCATCGTTGTTAAGATCAATAAGCTGCTATTGTGACTAGGGATGGAATAACATCACAATAGACTGTGATAAATCATATGATCGAAAAATTATTTATTCACACCTGTGACTAATTTACAAAACAACTGCGACTTATTACTACGCTAGCGCTGGACTTTGATAAAAATAATTTTGATTTTAATTATTATTAATTATCATTTATCTTTGTCTAGAATCACAATCACAGTTGAAATCACTGTGAATAAAAGCGATCATTTCATTATATTAATATCATTAAAAAGAAGCAATAATTTCCATTTCTAATCGTGACCATAGAATTGGCACTAAATGTGTCAAAAGTAAAATTGCTTCGTCTAGAAATAAAAAAACTAGGAGAAAGTTAAAATTAACTGAAGTAGATCGGCCTATCGACAATTGTTCATAAGATATAATAAGTATATTTATTGTTATGATGTGATATGCTATTGCTTTGGCTAAGAAACAACATGAAGTAGTAATCACTATATTCACTGATGATTGATTACCATAATTTGTAACTACACATCTTGTTTGTAAATAGTTCATGTACTTACTTACGTATGAGTACATTTTATAACTCTAATTGAGCATAATGTCAAAATAATAAGTATATCCAGGTACTCCAAATAAATTAAATTAAAACATCAAAGGAGATGTCTACTATTACTTTCTAATTTAAAAACCATTATACATCGGAGGTAAATAGAATGAAACCCTAAACACATTATATATACAGAAAACTTATAATTACGTGCCAAATCATAATGAAATATATATCATCGCTCTAGTATCTCAGTAGTCACAATCAATTTGCGTTCTAAATCAAGTGCCCCGTTGTTCGGCGTTGGATATGTTGGCCGCTTTCTTGCTAATATCCATGTTTTATGTCACAGAGCAACATGAATATTTACTTGAACCATTGCCTCAACACGATTCCAGTAAAATGATCCGATGTGTGACTGGTATACTTGACAAATATTTCGCGCACAAAAAAGAATTGACTTTTGTGAATATGAACTCTGATGAAAATGACTTGTTAAAAGAGATCCATTTAAAACTGCATTTCTCTCTAATAACCAGGAAAGTAACTCAACCTATGTTCGTTCCTAATCTTGGGTATGTTGTGTATTCTCCGGATGTAGACACGTTCTCAAGTTTGTTCCAGGATCTTACAAGAGAGCCACCATGGAACCCATATGCACGGTTTTTAATCATCATCGAATTACTGCTTGAAACCGAACTAAGGCAAGTTTTTGATGTACTACTACGACAACGTGTCAACGATGCCCTTTTAGTGAATGGCACTGAAGAAGGACAACTCTACACTTACAATCCGTTTGATAACTACGCGTGTGGTAGATATTATGATACCGTGATAAGCTACGGACTATGCTCAGAAACCACGCATAATTTGTATCCTAATAAATTAGTCAATGGATTGAAAAATTGCACTTTTAGAGGATCTCATACACATATCCCGCCATACAGTATTGAACCTTCTCAAAATGAATATCCAAATAAATTACCTGGAATAGAACAATATGTTCTTAAGACAGTAAGTGAATCTGACGAATTCAAAATAGATTTCAACACACATTATAACAGCTCGATTTTCTCAAGGGTTGCTCCTAATATGACAGCAACCGGACCTATTGCTATGTTGCAGACGAATGAAACAGATGTTATGTTCGGTTCGATGATGCTAAGGAATTCGTACGCAAGAGCTTTCACATCAGTCATTGGTTACGATGACTACGTTGACGAGTTTACATTTGCTGTAAGAAAGGCATCTTATGTACCAAGTTGGAAATATTTTTATTTAGAATTTAATGTATTTGTTTGGTTGTTATTATTGGTGTGTATAGTTGTTTATTCTGCTACTATTATATATCTACTTGGACCAACAGATAAGGGAAAGGTGATATTGGAATTAGTAGGTAACTTACTTTTGCAAGGTCATGGCATCCCTGGTCCTATGACCATTAAGTATGTCGTCATAATATGGGTGTGGTTTGCCTACATTGTTAACATATTTTATCAGTCTAGTTTGGTTAGTCTTACCACAAACCCAAGCAAAGAATATCAAATTTCAAATGAGAAAGATATAGCCAAATACAATCTCAGGCCGTGTTTGTCCGAGATTTTGGCAAAGAATATTTATTCAGATGCAACTAGTAAAGAACAATACGAGAAAATAAAAGTAAAAAATGAACATTGCGAAACAATGGTGGGAGCATTGGATCTGGTCAGCAAAAATAATGACATGTTCACAATATTCGTATCTTATTTTTATTTATATAATAAAGATACTTTTAACGACAATTATGGAGATCCATTAATTTACTATATTGAACGTCCTTTCTTGAAATTACTATGCGGTTTTCAATTTTACAAGGGGTTCCCAATTTCAGCAAGATTCCAGTTAAACATGATGCGCATGAGAGAAAGCGGTTTAGTGCAGAAGAATCGACGAGATCAGTACTACATGCGAAGCTTAAAGTATCGATTCTCTTCGAAAGAATTTGTATATCGATTTGTTTCGCCTTGGATTGTCTATTTCTCTGGATGTGTCTTAGCTACGGCATCTTTTTTCATAGAAGTCCTAAGTGTTTATTCTAAATGGACTATTCTGTCGAATTCAAATGGAAATTAAACAAAAAAATTAACAACATTAGTAGCTATTGTTGTTGATTGGTAAGATGTCCATTATATTTGCAGCATTTTTATTTTATTCCCAAAAACATAATAAAAGAAGAAACCACTGATCCTGCATTGCACAATAAAACTTCTCGTTATATGTAGTTATATGTTTAGTCGAATCACCAGTGGTGGGTAGTTAATCACTAACTTTACAATGTCAACCGTTGAGACAGACATCACACACACACTTACAAATAGGTGGATTTCTTCATAATCTTGGAGGGACATGAAACCCGTTCCTCAAACTTGGTGATCCTGATGTGACTAGAAGCATTACAATCACCAAGCATATTTCAGCATTATCATCGCCAAGCCTGTTTAGAGCATTCATAGTGTGAGGACATTGTGAGATAGTAAATCTTAAGGTGATACCATTGCATTTGCGAAGCAGAAAGACAATCATGTCAAATATTTGCCATTGCTAACCATTCTTTGTCAATTTCTCTTCAACTAAAAAGGGGTTTAAGTTAAATTAGGACTAATCACGGGAAAGAAGATGCCGTTGCGCCGTTGTAGTTTGCCTAACTGTATGTGAACTAGAAATATTTTGAACAATGTAAACTTTTTTTGAACCAAAGCAATTACAAAAAAGTATCAATAGTCATTTACAACAACTGTTTAACCAGTATACTTATTAATCACATATCTAAATACAGTCCGTGCTCTCTGTAACAAAGTAGTAACCATTAATATCACACCTAATACATCGCGCATACCGTTTTCTAACCATTTATCGTAAAACTATCATAAGAATTTTAGTTAGCAGAATGTTGGTCGCATGTTTACTAACATCCCTATTTTTTATAAATGGGCAAGGTTTTTTTTTGAGCCCTCCACATCAGGAGGACAATCAAAAATTAATTCAGTGTATAATTAGTGTACTTGAGAATTATTTCTCTGAACAAAACGAGCTCACTTTCGTTGGTATGCAAGATGGAAACGAAAATAAACTTCTGAAAACGATTCACACAACTACCAACTTTCCTCTGGTAACCAGACTTCCAGATCAAAGAATGGATGTTCCAATTCTCGGATATTTGATATCCGCAGCTGATGCTAATGATTTCATAAAATACATTCAATTTCTTATAAGCGAGCCAGCGTGGAACCCGTACGCAAGATTCTTGATAGTCATTGCATTACTGCGTGACGCCGACTTGGAAATAATATTTGATGAGCTGTTAAGACAGCATGTCGATAACGTCCTATTAGTGAACGGCACTGAAGGTGCACATCTCTACACTTACAATCCTTTTGATAACTACGCTTGTGGCAAGTACTATGACAACGTTACTAGTTATGGGCAATGCTTACTGGCTACAAATAATTTATATCCCAAGAAACTGGTCACTGGACTCAAGAATTGCAATTTTACAGCATCACTGGCACATCAACCCCCTTTTACAATAGACCCAACCAAAACGAAACACAAAAAGCTTTTAGGAACAGAAGAGTATATAATTAAATTGCTGGGTGAACTAGAACACTTTACTGTAAGTTTTAATTACAATTACAATGGTGGAATGTTTACTACCGTTGCACTAAACATGACACCTCTTAGTCCTATGAAAGTGTTACAAAGGAACGAATTTGATATTATATTTGGCGCAATCATTGTAGGAACATCGCGGGCTGAAACGTTTACTTACATGTGTGGATACCACGATTACAGTGACGAATTACGATTTGCGGTGAAAAGCTCACCCTTTGTTCCTCTTTCGGAGTATGTGTACCTAGAATTTGAACTAGACGTATGGGGTTTGTTAGTAGTGACTTTTATAGTGTATTCGATCATTGTGTCTTTGTTATTACGCACAAAAGATAGAGGGGAAATTATGTTGTTACTCTTGGATAACCTGCTATTGCACGGACGTCATATTCGCATTCGTCAGTCGGTAAAGTGTGTTCTGATCATGTGGGTGTTATTCGCATATCTGATTAACACTTTCTACCAAACCAATCTGTTTAGTTTCACTACACATCCTAGCCTGGATTTCCAGATAGCGGACGAAGAGGATATAGCTTACTACGACTTAACACCGTGTGTAAGTCTTGAATTAAGAAAGTTCATAATCAGCGAAACAGATACATTCGATGACGATTTTTTTATGAATAAAGGATGCCAAACTCTAGGTGAGGCTATGGATACAGTCAGTTCCAATGAAGATGTGTTTACGCTTATTCCAAATTATTTCTATTTATACAATGAAGCAAAATATAGTGACAAGTGGGGTAGACCTCTTGTTTATTATTTTGAAAAACCTTATATGAAACTTCTTTTTGGGTTCTTCTTTTACAACGGCTTTCCAGTTACACGAAGTCTCCGGCTTAATGCATTGCGTTTGAGGGAAAATGGAATAATCGATAAAAGTTTACAGGACCATTATTACAATCGAAGGTTGAAACAAAAATTCCACAAGAAAACCTTTCAAACCCAATTTTTAATTCCATGGCATGTATATATTCCTGGAACGATGATAGCTACTCTTGCCTTCATATTGGAGCTGTTAATGAAACATATGAAATTAACGAAATTGTTAAACTACATAGCTGTTCAATGTAAGTCAAGATTTTCTTCATAACTTCTTTGGCAATCATTTATTACTCAACTTTCATTCATGCTTCGCTCCATAATGAATCATTCATATTTCCTAGTGTATCATTTTGTAGCTTAACTTTTACTTGAGGATACATTAACACGTGTTCCTGTTTCAGATAAAGTTAGGATAGGTAGCGGCAAAATTTATGTCTCTTAATTTATGACCAACTATTTGCATATTATTTTGATCTCTGTACCTTAAATAATATGTAGTCAAAGATTATTTAATTTTAAATGTTAAGAAATACATTCCAATATAAAAAAATAAAATTGCATTTTGTTTTGTTCGTCTATGAATAAACAAATTTCTCATTATGTGAGTCGAATTTCAGCCCTGTCGTAGTAGACTGGAAGCCGACCCCAAACTTAGTTTGGGAAAAGGCTCTGTGGATCTATCTACAAATTAACTAATTCTAAAAAATCTATAACTATTCACAATCTCTTACTAATTTATATTTTATAAAGTATTTATATTCATCATCATCATCATCATCAGCCATCAGCAATTTATATTAATTTATTTATTTATTTTAATAATTTATTATAATAAAAATAAATATATAATTTCCTCAAAAAACGTAATATATTTTCAAATTATAAGGAAATTATTTATTAATTTTAATATTTTTTTTATTTTAATAATTTATTTATTTCTTTTTTTTAAATTTTATTTTTTAAATAATTTATTTTTATTTATTTATTTCTTTTAATAATTTATTATAATAAAAATAAAAAAAAACATTTCCTCAAAAAACGTAATATGCTTTAACTACCGATATATATACCGATGCCAATGGCCACTCGATGGCATCTCAATAGCGTGTCAGTGGTATGACACTGGCTTGGCGTAAACATAAAATAGCAAAATTGAGGCCCTGGCCTGTGGGCGTCCTACACTACGTTTGCCGAGACGCGGTCGCCACTCAAGAACTCGTTTTTCCCATATTTATATTAATAAAATAGAAATTCAAAATTAGCCTTTAGCCAAACAGTTTATTTCAAACTGGGTACCTAATAGTACCCTAGTATACTAGTTAGTGCAAAGTTTACTAATATAACATGGACGATTAACTTAAAAATAACAAGTCCTGATTATCATGGAATAAACAAAATTAATCATTTTTAGAAAACAAGTTGAACCGACTTTAAATAATACTAACAAAGAGCACTAAAAACCTAGCAGCAATCGCGGTTGATTTGCTGTAATTTTTTGAAGAGTCGTCTGTCTTTAAAAGTCATCAACAGATCTATATGTAATTGAAACTTTTGAACAAGAAAAGAAATACACAAAAATAAAAACATGTTCATATTTTATTTTGCATAATGCCACTTTTTATAGATATTCAGGATGGATTCAACTCTTGCTGTACACAACACACACGAGTCATGGTAATGTTATACCAATAGAGTTGGGAGACTGTAACTCCTAAACACAGGCAACTTAGTTGAATATCTAGGAAAAGAGCAAACACTCCAATTCAATATAGTCTAAGTCATAAAACTTTTATTGTAACGTATGGAATGTAGTTGTAAAAACTTACTTTTTTTTCTCTGTAAATTGTATATAATTTACATATATTCTCCAATACAATGATATTTTGTGTCGTATAATTATGTTTTGTTATCTTAGTTCGTTAAAAGATAAAAACCCATACCGACACAACATAAACGTCACTTGTCAGTCATCCAACCTTAATTATAAAAATAATTATATCACCTAAATGTCTTAATAGAAATAATTTCAGTCATGCCCAATCAACATCACATTCCTGTCAAAAATTGATGACTATATAAAGTTGTACACGTTCACAATTTCCAGTCAGAAATTGTTCGAAAATGCTGCTACCTATTCTGATATATCTGTTATGCTCCCCAGTAAGTGGTCTTGAAATACAAATTGAAGTCCCAACATATAGTGTCAAGGTAATAACATGCGTAGAGGAAATAGTGGAAAAATATTTCGCAAAAAAAAAAGTGCTCACATATGATGGAAATTCTCTAGAGGGTCGTGAATTGCTTAAAGCAATCCATGCTTTAAACGTCGTGACAGTGATGCCTAAAATTTCTTCTGGAAAAATAATTAGAACCCATAAAGGATACTTGATTTCTACAAGAAGTTTAACGAGTTTTAAAGAAAATATTTCCAAACTATATAACGATTCTACCTGGAATCCAGAAGCACGATTTCTAATCGTATGTGCATCTCTAAAACACTCTGACCTCAAGTATTTTTTTAACTATTTCCTGGAACTGCACGTAACGAACGTAGTTATAATCAATGCAACTGACGATGCACAGTTATATTCCTACAACCCATTCGAAAACTACGGATGCGGCAAAAATTATGAAAATATCATCAGTCACAGAAAGTGCTCACAGGCTTATAGGCAAAATCTATTCCCTAACAAATATGTCACTGGATTAAATAATTGTACTTTCAACTTGGCGATACCACATCTACCGCCATATACTGTCCATCCTAAAAACAATTCTGATATGCCGCATTCGCTTTTATATGGAATAGAACCGTATCTTTTACGATTGATCGGTGACAAACACGGATTTTCTTTGAATATTACATTAGACAATGATGACGTGGAATCATTCACAACAGTAGAAGCTGATAGAACAATTCAAATGCTACAAGATTCTAAAGCGGATGTCGTTTTAGGTGGTCAACTACTAGTACCTTCTCATGCAGCTGACTTCAGTTATGTATTCGATTTGTTTCCTTACGTAGATGAAATACGATTTTTAGTGAGAACCGCAAAGTTAATGCCGTCTTGGAAAACCTTTTATTTAGAATTTGACATGACAGTATGGTTACTCATAGCACTTTCTTTGCTTCTTTACTCGATGGTGATGATTTTTCTACTCCGCGTGGAAGACAACAGCCTCATTGTGTTAAAACTCTTAGATACCTTAACGCTTCATGGTTGTAAAATTAATTGTCATTCGACAATAAAGGTCGTCTTTATTTTGTGGATTTGGTTTGCATATCTAGTCAATGCCTTTTACCAATCCAGTCTCTTCAGTCTGGCCACAAATCCTCCTAGGCAGAAGCAAATCGCAACAGAATCGGATATCTTACACTACAAATTAAAGCCTTGTTTTAGTGAAGTAATGCAGAAGTATGAAATGGAATCTACAGAATCAAAACACGTCTATACACCAATTGCTGGTTGCAAAAGTGCCTATGATAGTATTAATAAAGTTCTGAATGATCAAAAGTATTATACAATATTCTTATACGGACTGTACCAATACAATAAACAGGATTTTTTTGATATTTATGGACACGACCATATCTATCCGTTCAAGGAGGCGTATTCTAAGGTTATCTATTGCATGTATTTCTACAAAGGATTTCCTTTTATTCATGACATAAGGGTAAGCTCAATGCGTCTGAGAGAAATGGGCTTGGTAGATAAAGCTATGTCTGACATGATTTACTTCAAGAACATAAAACATCATTTTCATGCACATCCATATAAGCCCCGTTTCGCTCTCCCGTGGTACCTCTACCTTTTTGGATGCACGATGTCTGCAATCACCCTTGTTGTGGAAATTATAACTAAGCATAGAATAGGTTAATGTTAAGTTATTGAAAATACTGCACTGCTGATACATGTAATTGAACACGTAATATTAAAATATATAACATCACAAATTTTGAGTTTTATTCAAGTTCTTTTTTTTTTCAAATGAATATTATTTATTTTTGAAGAAAACACTTTCACAATGGTATTATAAAATTATATGTTTCAAGTGCTTCTACCGTAAGGCATGGAAATTTATACAAGTGTAGTGAAACATTATAAAGATATCAAGTTAATGCAATGAAGTTATAATAATATAGATCAATTAATTATTTATTATAAATTCATTGATAACTATTTATTCTACAAATAATATATTTCTTAAATTATTCTTAGTGGTAGTAGAGATTCTAGGGTATACCTGGTTCCCCGGCTATTAGTACCCGAGACGGCGTGCGATTTTAGTCGGTTCGTGTCCGACATGCCACCGGTGGTATACGAGAGGATTTCCAAAAAAAAAGGGAAAAAAAAAGTGGTAGTAGAGAAAGTTTTAATTACGTATTTCCATGATTAAATTAAATATAATTAAATTAAATAGAAAAAGAACAAGAAAAATATTTTAATCCGAGAGAAATTAAATTAAATGTTGATCACTAAGGAACTCATCTACAGAATAATAGCATTTGGTAATCCATAGGTTCATTAGCTTACGTTTAAACGAGTTAACGTCAAGATCCTTTGTATGCATTTGGTACTTTGTTGTAAATTTTTAAAACAGTGTAATAGTGTGAAGAGACTTTCAAATATTACAGAACTAGCTTTTGCCTGCGACTTAAAGGCCGCTCATAAAGGATACAAACAATCAAATAATAGCTTGGCTATTTTATAGCCATACTTTTGTTTGAAGTTTGAAGCAACTTACTGACTGACTGACTGATTCACTGGCTGATCGATCAACGTTCGTTTGCAAAAGATGCAACGTGGGGTGTTTACTTATGATAATATTTCTTCATAAGCAACATTCTTAAGGTGAGGTGAGTCCAGGGAACACGCTTTTTAAAAAGTTGCTATAATTAAACTACTTTAACTTGGTTTCTAGAAATTTAACTATGAAATATTAAGTCCTTTCTGCAGGGTCAACAGCTATTGAAAACACGATTAATGATTTTTGGCTCGATAGAAAAAAATCGCGAACATTGCTCTAAATTGCACTAATTAAAAATTATAACTATTTAATACAATCATCTTTTTAGATTAAAATTACATCAAAATATTTATAATTTTAATTACAAGGGACATCAGCTATTACATTGAGAAATAAAACAATAATAATAAAAAAAACACAAAAATTACAATTTACGATCGCGTACCCTCCCCGTCTCTCGATCGCTGTCATTCGCTGTAAAGGCGCTTGAAATTGGGAATGAAGGGTATGGGTAATGCGGTATACTCACACGTTCTTCGTGGGCTGACTCCGATCCAAAGCCTTAACATGCAATCTAGTATCATTACAGTTTTGCTAATTTAAAATTCTGAAGCCACATAACAGATGTACGCAGCGAGAGCTTATGACATGGAAAACCTGCTGTATTAATGCTATTCAAAACTTAAACTCCGTGTTGGGATTAAGAATGCGGCATTTTACTAATCTCGTGGGTGTCGTTAGAGCCGACTAAGGTAGCAAACTACGCAGGACAACAACTCTGCAAAGAAAAGGCAAACGTTCCTTTCTAAAACCATTAAATTTTTAAAGATAAAAGACCAATCGATATAAATAATTGTGTTTAATGGCTATTGAAATATGGCTTGGAATGGCTTGTATCATGACAATAATAAACCGACAGTTTTCAGAACGTTGAAAACATTGTAACAAAATAATTAAAGAAACTGCACTGATATGGGGGTGGGGGCAACATATTTTTCTACAAGTTGCTTGAAAGGTAATACCCTAATTATATAATTATTTTATTTGCCAGTCCATGTAAATACGTACATATTATAGATACATAGAAAACACACAAATTCCGAAAAAAAAATTGCAGATCATGCAAACATCCCGGGAATCGAGCCCGAAACCTCAGCATAGCAGTCGCATATGCTACCACTGCACCACAGAGATATTAAAATTATATTAATGTTATTTTTTAACTTATAAGTAGAAAAAAATACCAGAAAAATGATATTTCATAAACCATTTATTTAAAAACATACATCGGTACAAAACATCATTTTATTACATCTATAACCTGTATATCTAACCATATTATTAATATTGGACCACAATATCTACATATCTAAGTACAAATAATATCTACCATGATCCCTGAATACATAAATCTAACAGACCAATGGTATTGTATAATTTACTTTGACGATATTTATTCTTGCATGCATATATGCTCTCGTCTGAACCACCTCAGTAAGATACCAGGAGATATGTGTGTAAAGAACAAAATCAGTCCTTACCAGCAGCCGTGGAAATCAAATATCGCCACTTGAATTCAACCTAGTCAATGAATGGAACAAAGACAATTATATAACTACAGAGAAGTCGATAATTTAGTTTTTTTTGGATGTTAGAGTGGGCAGACGTCAGCTGGGTCACCTGATGGAAAGTGACAATCGCCACCCATGAACATCTGCAACTCAGGAGTCACAAACGCGTTGCCAGGCTTTTAGGAAGGAGTACGCTCTTTTAAATAATTCCCCAAAATTTTCGAATTCGAATTGATTATCAATTTTATGAACTAAAGATGTTGAATTAGAAATTAATATTTTTTTATGATATAAGAGGCAAAAGTGGCAAGAGGGTCACCTGATGGAAAGTGACTACAAACGCGTTGCCGACCTTAAAGGTTTGGAGGTCGTATAGGTCCAAAAAAACCGCAGGTGACATTTTGTTCCACTGATTGGTTGTGCAAGTTAAAAAAGCTTCTTGAAAAACGCATAATGGTGGATTGCCAATATTGAAGTGAGGGGGTGGATGTTATCACTTTTAGTTTTCATTTGCTTAAGTTATCTTTGTAAAACATTGCTACTGCTTACCTGAAATGGAGTCATTGCAATTAAAGTACCACCAGAGCGATTATATTTGAATTTTGAAATTAGTTACGTTCGAACTCGTTGGAGTTCTTCGTCATACTGAATCAAATACCTAAATTGACTTAAAAATAGTAATAATAATAGTTCTGTAAAAGTAAACATGAACAATACCAAGGGTTTCGTATTAGCTATCTTTCAAATTAAGATTAAGGGCAAGCCCTGAAGGCAAGATAATAATTTATGAGCAAATTTTATTTATAAAGTAATTAAGTTCTCATTACCCAGATGTTATCAGATCTAGTAAATAGAAAATATTTCAACTGTAGAATAAACCTGTTTAGTGGGTGAACATATATATTAAAAAATTGCATAAAAAAATATTTTTTTAATCGATTCAATATTCTATCGATTTTTATAAACAAATTTTATGTTTTTTTTAAGATATTCTGATATAATTATCACATATACAGCTATCACATTTTTTAGTTTTATTTATTTTATTTTTTATTTTTTACAAATTTATAAAAACGGACGTAGGTGACGGACACAGTTTTATGAAATCGTATAATTTCCTTCCGTATGTAATAAGTTAACACCACTACAAGGTAATTACATTTTCCATGATATATATTCGAAATAATAACATCTCTTTTATCACAATAACTGCATAAAAAATTACTAATTCAAATTATTGCAGCTTTGTCGAACTTAATCAAAAATGTTCATAATTTTTTGACAAATCGTTCATAGTAGTACAAACCTTAAGTAAATCATTACTTTGGCATTTCCTCCAAAAGTCTTCCCAACGTTCACGTCCAACAAAGCGACAACCCTATCTTAATAACTACTTGTCGTTTGGTTTTCTGCCCTAACGCTTGCGTCGTAAAGTGCATTATCGCCTATCTGGTGGACTTGAGCTTCCAACGCAGGAAGAGGAAGGCGGAGATACGTAGCACAAGGAATATAAGACACAGCGCTGCAATGTCCAGCGTGATGTCCGCGTCCTCCATGTCGAGCTCCTCCAGGGTTGTCACAGGATTCTTGAAGTGGCAGTAAGTCTGAGAAAATAAAATTATTATAAATATAATACTAGCTTCTGCAGTTTTAAGTTTTGCCGCATTGTTCGTGTGGTGACGAATTAAGAATACAGAGTGTCACCACCCCTATTAATCCCGTGGGTATCGTAAGAGTCGACTAAGGGAGCAAACTACTAAGGGGCCAAACCTCCTTTCTAAGGAGAGGCCTATGTCCAGCAGTGGACTAGTAAAGACTGCTGATGATGATGATGTTGATGAAGGTTTCCCGTGTTTATGGTGTTATTGGGTATGGTGTTATTCTATATGGTAAATAGATGTAAGTTAAAATGTACATAGTTACAAGTGGAGCTAACAAAAACGCTTTTATAATATATGTTACCTGATGACAGTCCAGCTTTTTCCTGTTGAAGGAGTAAGTGGCGAGAGCGGTGCCCTCAAACCCATAGCGGATATACGACAGGTAGGTGATCCAGCGCAAGTAAACCGGGATCGCGTTGAACGACACGAAGAACCCGCTGAACAGCAGGAATGGGACCGACATCACAGGCGCCAAGAACACGCCGTTCTGTACAACAGACAATTCTTTATAGCCATGGTCTTTGAACCTGTGTCAAAATTCACCTGTACATGATTTCAATTGAGGCTGTCGAATGTACTCAATCTCAATATGTGGACTTAGCTGGATATCAGAATTTTGTGAAAGTAAAAATATCTGTATTTGATAACTCTTTTATAAAAAATATTTGAAATCGTCTTTTATGCAGTTTCTAAAATCTGTTTTGTCAAAACATTCAGTAAAATGAATCCAATGAATACACGGCCGTTTTCTCCTTCCTTTGTATATCCCTCACACTACAACTTATACATTTAAAGATATATATACTCAAGTTTACATCCCCTAAGGGGGATTGTTGATTATGTTACTTACAATTTTATTTATTTTTATTTTATTTATATTGTAATGAACAGGTATGTAAAAAAAGGCAGGCAATAGAAGGACAAATAGAAGGAAAGGCATATTAGTTGTTGCGATGTAGATAGTCAAGACCCCTGTGACTCCCCAAGATCCCTGTGACTCGAATTGGGTGTCGCCGGGAAGTCTATGCCCACTTGGTGGCAAGTGCACATCACTGCTAAAACCTTTAAGGTGTTATATTGGTTACTGTCGAAATTGTATGGAAAGTAGACAGTTATGTTATTTCTTTTTTATGGAAGAGGGGGCAAATGACGGGACACCTGGTGGAATGTGACTACGTTCGCTCATGAACGCCTGCGACTCAGAAGTCACAAGCGCTGTGCCGACCTTTGTGGAAGGAGTACGCTCTTTTTTTGAAGGTTTGCAGGTAGACCGCAGACAATAACTTGTGTGACTGGTTGTGTGAGATAAAAACTGTCTTATATATGTATATAAGAAAACCTTTTTTCCTTAACCCATGTGGTAATGCCAAAAGCCTATAAATTCATACTTCTCCTAATTTACATAGTCTTCTAGTTTAGTTAGTTCTCAGTGGTAATTTTGCTTTGTTTCTACATTTTATAAAACGAGAAAATAGTGTTGTTTATGTCGTATGCTTGTTCACTGATGATAGGGAAATGAGGGTCGTTAAGGAGACTGACCTGCACGTTCATGGCGGCTCCGACGACGAGCCCGACGCTCTGCGCCACGAAGGAGATGAGCAGGCACGAAATCAGGAACATCGCGAACCGGAACCACTCCGCAGGTTGTGACGTCAGCAGGTACACTATCACTACGTAGATCACGCAGAATATCGCCTGGACAATATATAACATACCTTAATATACACAATTACACAACACACATCTCACACACGGTCGTCGAAAATTGTAAGCTTAATGTTGTTTATTGTTTGTGTTTTATTTTTTTTTCTAATTTTAATTTATTGCACTTTCAATTTATTGTAAATACTAAGCACTTTTCTTTTTTAGGCTCTTGTATCATAAAATTATTATTTACTTAGTTGAAAATACACACGCTGTGGTCTCCTGTAATTGAAGGAGTACACGTACCAATACCCGTGTAAATGTATTTTTGATATTTTGTGTACATCCTTTGTTGCTTAAATAAATAAATATAAAATAAATAAACTTTAGGTAACTAGACTGCTGAAAAACAGACTTATATGTTAATACCCAGAACAAATAATCGTGATCGTCCCACGATTATTTGTCCTGGGTGGGAATCCAACCCACGACCTCTTGTTTAGCAGTCAGGTTTGATAACAACTAGACCCAGAGGCCAATCAAGGCTTATTTATCCACTTCACTATAAGTACAAGTATTTTATATGTATGATATGTATTTACAATAACAAAAAGTATATAAGTATTCTATCAGTACATCTAGTTTTTATAGTACAAGCTGTTTAGTTTGATACTAAATGACATGTGCCAGATGTTTACAAATAGTACAACCACACACTGCCTCGGTGGTGCAGTGGTAGCGTATGCCACTGCTGTGTTGAGGTCCCGGGTTCGATTCCCGGGCGGACTAAATGGTTGTATGATATGCAAATATTTGTTGCGAAGTTAGGGTGTTTCTTTTATGTATAACTAGCTGACCCTGCCAACGTTGTTTTGCTATTTACATTATTTAAAAAATCTTTTTTTTTTCAATTTCTTAAAATTCGTTCTCAGCTGACCTTTACTCGATGAAAAGAATATTCCTACCAAATTTCAAGTCTTTATCTCTAATGGTTCCAGAGATATCGTGATGAGTGACTATATACGTAGAAATCTATACTAATATTATAAAGCTGAAGAGTTTGTTTGTTTGTTTGAACGCGCTAATCTCAGGAACTACTGGTCCGATATGAAAAATCCTTAAGTGTTAGATAGCCCATTTTTCGAGGAAGGCTATAGGCTATATATCATCACGCTTAGACCAATTGGAGCGGAGCACCAATGAAGAATGTTTAAAAACGGAGAAAATTTATTACTATTGAGAGACGCAGACGAAGTTGCGCGGGTCAGCTAGTATATAGATATGTGTGTTTTTACAAAAAAGATGTATATAAGTATTCTATCAGTCAATCTAGCTATCATAGTACAAGCTCTGCTTAATTTGAAACTAGATGGCGTTGTGTGTCAGATGTCAATGTTAATGTTTTATCAAATAGTTTCTATCCTGTAGTGTATTCTTCACATTATTTTATTAATTTGATATTACCTGGAAAGGTATATCGGAGACAGTGATCGCCATGTAGTAAGACCGCAAAGAGTACCAGCGATTGAAATGTTCCTTCACCAACACGGGCATCTCAAGTGGAACTGGAAATTATAAATATTTACATTAATATATGTGTTTAAATATATATATAGTCCGTGTGGTGACGGATGAAGAATACGGAGTGTCACAACCCCTATTCATCTCGTGGGTGTCGTAAGAGCCGACTAAGGGAGCAAACTACGCAGAACAACAGAACTGCAAAGAGAAGGAAAACTTGACACAAACCCTATACCAACCCGTCTGGCCAGCGTGGACTGTTAAAGTTAGACATTGGTATTAGACATTAGTAGTTCGAATACACTGGTCGAATTTCGTCGGTTTTAAAATGTGATGTTTTATTTAATCGACCAGTGTAACTTGAATTGTCATTGTTTAGCCTTTTGTATCAAGAACAAGAGCCATCACTCTGGTCGAACGAGGCCTATAGTTTTTCTTATGTATTTTGTTCGCCGTTTCGAGGTCAAACGACCACACGGCTCACCTGATGGTAAGTGATTACCACCGCTTCTCTACACTTGCAACTTACTTCCCCTCAGAATCAGAAGGCCAATTCTCGTAATAAAAGTTCTGTGAAAATTAATTTCCGATCAACTCTCGATCTCGCAACTGTCTTAAAAGGTATTCTCGTAGTAAAATAGTGAAGTATAACTAAGACTAGCAGACTACCGATTCAATTTTCGGTTACAATACGATATAATCACATTACAGTCAACGTTGGAAGCTTAATATTTTCATCATCATCATCAACAGCCTTTAATAGTCCACTGCTGGACATAAGCCTCTCCTTAGAAAGGAGGTTTTGGCCTACTATACCACGCTGGCCAGACGGGTTGGTATAGGGTTTGTGTCAAGTTTTCCTTCTCTCTGCAGTGCTGTTGTCCTGCGTAGTTTTTATTGCTAATTATTTAATATTTTAATTTATTAATATTTTACTGCTAAAATATATTTTATGACAGTTGTAAGATAGAGAGTTGATCGAAACTGATTTGTAACCGAACTTTTATCAAGAGAATTGGCCTTCAGGTTAAGGCCCCAGTAACTTCACTTCCTCAGTAAAAAACAACGAAAGAACTGCTAAACACCGGTCTTCTGTGAGGCCGTGGTAACCTGACCCAATGTGCTTAACCATAGTACTTAACACTTAACAATTTAAGCAAAAGTAAAATCCGTCATGGATGAAATCTGACCACTAAACGATGTTTAGTTTAAATAAATCTATACTCACAACTAAGAATAGTGATTGTCATGGATGTGTACATAAGGAACAGCATGTTAAAGAACAGGAAACCAAGGTTCGAGAGTACTTTGGAGCCGTCGTTGCCGATGTTGTAGTACAGAGCGCCGATCAGGAACCCGACGAGAATGTGAGCGAACAAACGGAGGTACATCAAAGTCTGTGGAATAAGAGTTTGTTTTACTGCTAAGGTGTCATACAAGCACGTAACATGTCATTATAGTGATCTGTTATTCGTCCGTTACAGCTGGCATAACATCTGATATTATAATGTTATGAACGCCCTGTCAACAACTACTGAATTGAGTTAAACCTGACCTAGACTCCTATTTTTTTTATTAAGAAGGAAATGACCACACTAGAATGAAATCTTTTTCATTCTCGTCTATGTCTATATGTTAATACTATCTATAGGTGTCCCCATTATATCAAAATCCATGCAGCCGTTGCTGCTTCAAAGGTAAAAAATGAATTCTGAAAAATTATTTCAACTAAACTAACACTCAACAAATTAGTGTTTAACCAAACAATTAGCAATGTTTGACATTGGTTTATGTGACAACATTTTCGGCTTTTCACTTTTTAAACTGTCATCAACAGCCTTTAATAGTCCACTGCTGGACATAAGCCTCGCCTTAGAAAGGAGGTTTTGGCCTACTTTGCCACGCTGGCCAGACGGATTGGTATAGGGTTTGTGTCAAGTTTTCCTTCTCTCTTTAAACTGTATTGCATCTTTGACATATATAAAGGCTTCGTAATAGGCATTGGGCCTTAAAAATGTCGTATCTTTTTTTTTGGCCCTCAGAGAAATTCGTCCCCTGCGCTGCAGGACCCCAACCCATTTGTCGAGAGGTTAATTAACATACTTTGTGCATGTACTTTTGACTGCATGGATGGCACTACGGGATGCAGTCAAAAGTACAAGTTACAAAGGTTTAAGCGGTCGCCACGCCGCTTACTACTACGCTGAGTGTTGTGGGTCCGATCCCCACATGGGACGACACTGCGTAATCCACGAATTGTTGGTCTGAGTCTGCGTGTTCTTATAAGTTTGTAAAGTCCCCCGCGACACAGGATATATTCCTAATGTGGGAGTTGTCGAAAAAAGTACTCGAAAGGTATATTAGCGTGACTCTTTAGCACAATTCCTTCATATAAAGTTCATCCTTTCGCCGCAAAAGTAGTCACAGGATTTTTTCTATGAACACACAATTATCCTCATATTTTCTTAATCTATCGTCTTAATATTTATAACTACTGCCAGTAAAGTTTTATTTGAAATACTTACCCAATCTCGTCTGCTAAACAGTAATGTCCTCTTTAATACGACCCAGAACTGTGTGAGCTCTGATGTCGCGTACCTCTTGGGAGAGCCCTCGCCACCCAGCAGGGCCATTTCTACGTTGTCCTGCTTCTCTGTGTCCATTTGGACTACTAATGGATCACCTGAAAGGTATGAACGTATGGTTGATTGAAAACAAACATTTACTATCGTCTCCGTGCTTTTTTTGTAAGACCAAGTGGTCATAGAGATATCGTCAGCAATATTACACATTGTGGGTTCCATACTGCAAGTACAAATACTGCATAAATAAATATATATGTCAGCTGTATTTACGATTATTTTACACAGTTGATGTACCTATATCATCCTGAATAGCTATAAAATGATGACAAGACAGTTCGAATGTCAAGGCACTAACGCGCATATCTGAGGTTTAAATAACATAAATATATTACAATTTAAAGCCTTATATATACAACGATAGCGATTTGTAGTGGAACAAAGTTCAGGTGTGTAATAAGTAAAAAACATTATACAGCGCTAACTTTGTGTGTAGGTAATGTAAAAAACTGGTTATCAAACGGAAGGTTACCGACTGTCGTTATTTTAAGACATAAGAATGACATGGCTCTGGCAATTTATTAAGAGATTTTAAGAGTAATTAAAAACTTAACTTCTAATTGCAAAGGTTTAATTTAATCTATATCTCACACAAGAGTTGATCAATACGTAATATCATTTACATAGTACATAGGTATATCTTTATCGATTCTAATTTGGATTTCGGACCATGCTTCATAGTGATGTATCCGAATCATAACTGCACTAAAAATTCGGAAAAGATCTGGCCAGCATTAGTTTATAATTAGGTTAATATTAAGTCCCCCAGGAACAGGAGATCCGAAGGGATTTTCCACCCCGTCAACAAAGAAAAAAGGTATTATTAACTGAATCTAGTGATATATATTTATGACTTGAACTAGGCTTGAACTAGGCTTGAACTAGGCTTGAACTAGGCTTGAACTAGGCTTGAACTAGGCTTGAACTAGGCTTGAACAATCAACATCTGAGAAACTTGAATGTAAACTTTGCTCATTAAAATACAATTTATTTAGCAAACCACAATGTAAGTACAATTATAGATAATGTACAAAGTTCAGGCTATTGTTTTCATTATACTATATTATTAACCAAGCATTGCGTAATAAGGAACAAGGAAATGAATTTCAAAAATCAACTTTATCATTACTCGCATAGCTTTCATTTCAGAACAATAGCAATTTTAACAAATTACGGTGTTCAAACATAGCATGAAGAATTCCTTTAATAACAATTATGTAATTATCCTTCAATTATAATTTAATATTTATTTATAACAAGTTTCTAACACCAACTTAATAGCTGTTGACAGCTAATACATCAAATTAATAATTATAATTTCAGTTTATCAACTTCTAAATATTGTAAATATTGCATAGGGGCAAACTACGGACGAGTCACCTGATGTTAAGTGCCTACCGTCTCCCATGGACACATGCAACTCTGAAGTCATAAAATCAATGGGAGGCGTTTGGGCTCCGGTGACCTCATCAGCTCTATGAACCGCAACGAAAGAATAGAATATGCTTTATTATATTATTACAATTACAGTGAATTGGTTAAATATTATATACGGATATGTACAATGGGCGGTCTTATTGCTAATAGTATTCTCTTACAGGCAACTTTGGATGAACAAATAAACAGTAGATGAGAAGAAACAATGGGTAGTCTAGGTGTATTGAAGTTAAAGTAGTGTAAAAAAATAATATATATATATATATATTATAATTATACATACACACATACATACAAATAGATACATATGATACATATTGACGACCGAATGGCGTAGTGGTTTGTGTAATGGACTGCTATTCCAAAGGTCGCGGGTTCGATTCCCGCTCAAGTCAAACATTTGTGTGCATGAACATTTAATGTTTGATTTGGTCTGGGTGTTTCTATGTATAATAAGTATGTATTTACAAAAAAAAAGTATATATGTATTTATATCAGTTGTCTAGTACCCATAGTACAAGCTCTGCTTAGTTTGGGACTAGATGGCGTTGTGTGAATGTGGTACAATATTATTATTATTATTATTATTATTATTATATATATAAGAGATTTCCACGTATATAGTCACTCATCACGATATCTCTGGAACCATTAGAGCTAAAGACTTGAAATTTGGTAGGAATATTCTTTTCACCGAGTAGAGGTCAGCTAAGAACGGATTTTAAGAAATTAAAAAAAAATAAAAAATAATTAAATAATTTAAATAGCAAAGCAACGTTTGCAGGGTCAGCTAGTATTATATATGCAATATAAGTATAAACAATTTATATTGATAACCATGAAATCATTAATCATGTACAGTTATTGAAAGCAAAGAGTACTATGAACTATGAACCTGTGAACCCAAGTAGTGATCTTTGACTATATTTTTAAATGCTGTCAGTGTTTTGGCACGTCTTATGGATATCGGCAAAGCGCTCAATAACCTGACAGCCTCGACCTGAAGGGTCTCAGATGTGTGTCACTCAGGAACACAAAAAGTTCCTTTAGGTAAGGTGGGGTAAATGGATTGAATATGATACTATAAAGTATACAAAGCATATGTGTATTCCGTCGAAGTCGAATTGGGAGCCACTTGAGTAATTTACGAAATTGAGTCAAATGATCATATAAAAAACTACTTAACAGCGGTTTCATGGCTCTCTCATATACAAAAAAAACTGCAATGTTTTTTTTATGTTAGAGGGGGCAGACGAGCAGACGGGACACCTGATGGAAAGTGACTATCGCCGCCCATGAACGTCTGCAACTCAGGAGTCACAAACGCGTTGCCGGCCTTTTAGGAAGGAGTACGCTCTTTTCTTAAAGGTCTGGAAATACCGCAGACGATAGCCCGTTCCACAGATTGGTTGTGCGAGGCAAAAAGTGTCTCGAAAAGTGCACAGTAGTGGAGCGCACACTATCAAGGGGATGAAAATTTTGCCGTCTAGAACGTATACAGTACGGTATTAGTCTGAACAATTGCTCTAAGCACTCTCCACGATGTTTTTATAAGTAGACATACTGGTATTGGAATGTTTTATAGTTAGAAATCTAAGAGATCTATAGGTTACACGCATTCTGTCGTTTCATAACAAGCTGTGTTTACATTAACAGAGGCTCATTATGACATTATTAGAGTGCAGATAGAACACGAACAGGATGCAATGCTACCCTTGATCTTTGCTATCTGTTACACAAGTACTTTACTTCTATATGTGTATCTACTGATTATAATAATTAACTCATTTTATGTCACGATATTTAAAGGAAAACTCCTTTTGTGACATTATTTTGTTTTTATTTTTGATAGCACTTGCATTGCCTTCTTCTGAATTTAAATTCGATTTTAATTGCATCACGGGCCTCTTGGTTTAGGGGTTAGTGGCCTTGCCTGCTAAGGTTATGGATTCGACTCTCATGAGGAACAAATATTATGTAATGACCTTGATTATTTGGTCTGTGTCTAGGAGTAATTTGTCTATAGAATGTATGTACTTAGAAATATATAATAAGTCCTTTCATCAGCAGTCTGGTTAGCATAGTACAGCACTGCCTAGTTCGGGATCAGACAGCCCTGTGTGAGAAGTGTGCGGTTATTATTGTTACTACTCTAAAACTAGTACTATGTAGTTGTGATTGTTTGTTGAAAGTTTGAAACCGTATAAACTAACTACTGTAAAAATAGATTGAGTTTGTATGTGATAAACACAAAATCTTTAAACGAATAGATAAACAGTTTATTAGATCTGTGACCTACAAAAGTACAACGTTATTTCTAACTGTTTGTTCTCAATTTAAACTCTTGCATCCGTTATCTAACGCAAAGTTTTATGTAATTATTATTACGTAAAGAAAACACATTGATCGAGATACTGTCCATGGTGTTAATTTTTTTTTTCAATCACATAATATGATAATTTAATCGGCTGCTTTAAATGTTGCGACATTCAAAACAAGTTTTTTTTTTTTAAGAAGGCCGTACGAACGTTGTAACATGAGAACAAAATTGCTATTAGAAAAATTCTTCAGATAAAGTAAAATTACATTACATCACATCAACAGCCTTTAATAGTCTACTGCTGGACATAGGCCTCTGCTTAGAAAAGAGGTTTCAGCCTACTATACCACGCCGGGTTGGTATAGGTTTTGTGTCAAGTTTTCCTTCTCTTTGTAGTGCTGTTGTCCTGCGTAGTTTGCTCCCTCAGTCGGCTCTTACGACACCCACAGGATGAATAAGGGTGGTAACACTCTAAAATTATAAAAATCATTAAAAAACCTCTTTTTTTATGATTTTTATAATTTTCATTTACCCAGTATCACTCTCAGAATTAATACGAATTTAACGACACCTCAAACCCCAAAAAGTATCAAGCCGTTTAGACAACTGAGCATGTTAAAGAAATATACATACATACACTTAAAAACCTTACCCCTCCTTATAGCGCAGTCGGTAAAACAATAACTTGATTTTTTTTATAATTAACCTAATCAGTAAAATTACTAAGTAATTACTAAAAATATTAATTAAAACGAAGGCAATGGTTTCATTTCCTTTGCTTTAAATAATATTTTTACATTATATTTTATATTATATGTATGTTTTTTTTTTGCTATACGAAAAATACTGTTCATTTTATCTAGCTATGAGCTATCGTTGTTTTGTGTATTTTGTTGATTCATATCTCACTTTCTATTTCCATTACAGTCATGGGTTAAACACTTACCCTTAGCGATTTCACTAGCAGCATATTGTAAAATTCCATTTTGAAGGTTCCCATTCCCATTAGTTCCGTTCGTGGCCTCCTTGAATTTCTCCTGAACTTGGGAAAGATCGTTCTTATTCCATTGTTTCTTCAAGGACTCTTCCATAGCCTCTTTGTTATTGTACGGCGGTATAGTTACTTCTGGGAAGGGCATTCCGTTCCTAAAAGAAAAATAAATCAAATATTAATCAAAATAGAATGGTTAGAAGCAAGTTTTGACTCGCGCCTACATCCCGTAGGTTGGCATCGATGTACACATTAAACCTCACCACTTTCCACTGTTGCGGGTTCGGTTCCCACATGGGACAACACTTTGTGTGATCCGAAGTTGTTGTCCTGAGTCTGGATGTTCTTTGTGTCCGTTTTATGTATGTTTGTAAAGGAAATGCTCCTAGTGCGGGAGTTGTCTTTAAAAAAATGCCTAGTACAGAGGTGAGAAACTGACTACCAAAACATCGTCAGGTGAGTTTTTGGAATCTGAAAGTAGTAGGGGTATATGGAAAGAAAGAGAGAACCGATATGGTCATGGCCAGACAGCCTATTAGTGTTCAAACTAAGGCTCGTAAAATCCTATATCGATAAAACACACAACAGTAATATGTTACAATCCATTCTGGAAAACATTACAACATTAGCACATTAGTATAAATATATAAACATTTCCGAGTAAACAAGACATTACAGCTTTTATTTATATACCTGATATCGTTCTTGCCGTTGTTTATGGCGCGCACCAACTTGCCTGTGTTGTCTCCGTACTCCCCACATGACACCTCAATGATGAAGGAGGCCGGGTTGTGATACGCGGGACACTGTAGGCCTTCGCTGCCGAGCCATTCAACTAGTCAAACAAAAAGGTTAATATTAAAACATTATAAAACATAATAAATTATAAAACACAAAACATAACATAATGTCCGTGTGGTGACGGATTAAAAATACGGAATGTCACCACATCTATTCTTCCCATGGGTGTCGAGTAAGGGAGTAAACTACGCAGGACAACAGCACTACAAAGAGAAGGAAAACTTGACACAAAACCTTTTTTTTTTTTTTTTTTTTTTTTTTTTTTTTTTTTTTTTTTTTTTTTTTTTTTTTTTTTTTTTAACGTGTGGAAATCCCCTCGGACCGTCACCCCTCCGGGGTTTGCGGCGGGGTGGTGTGTCGGACTCGGACCGACTAAAACCACACGGTGTGCCACTCTGCGCCTGTAACAGGAGGGATCCGGGAACAGCTGTTGTTAAGACATCCGGACCCCTCCTAGCGCCAGCCCGCAGTGCAGTCGCAGTGGTGGCAGGCGGGACTCAGTTCCCTCCTAGCGACCGTGTGCAGGTACTTTCCGAAGCAACCGTGCCCGGAAAGCACCTGCGTCAGCCGGAAGGAAAGGGTCCCGTGCTGCCGCCCTGCCCACTCGGCGATGACCGGCTGGAGAGCCTCCACGGCGGCGAAGCCAGCGCGTGGAGTCTCCAGCCGGAACGACCAACGAGCCATCGTGGCTCGGCGAGCGGCTTCGCGCCACTCGCGCACATCCTCGGGCGGAGGGCGAAATCCGCTCTCCGCCCGGTAGTCAGCCACTCGCCGATAAACTTCGGCGAGCACTTCCGCCTCCAAATCCCACGGGGGAGTTCCGGCCAACGCGCACGCCACCTCCGTCGAAACGGTGCGGTAACCGCGTATGGCTCTGACCGCCATTACCCTCTGAGGGCGCCAGAGGCGTACCCTATTCTGGGCGGTCAGAGCCGCCGCCCACACCGGTGCACCGTACAGTGCCATTGACCGGACAACCCCCGTGTACAGCCGTCTTGTCGCGACGCTGGGTCCACCCATATTGGGCAAAAGTCGCCCTAGGGCAGACGCAGCGCCGACCAGCTTTGGAGCAAGCTGTCGGAAGTGCTCGTCGAAGAGCCACCTCCCGTCGAGGATCAGGCCCAGATATTTCATCTGGGCCCGAACCGGTACGAGGACCGAGTTGACCACGATTGAGGCGCCAGGGGGTGGACCACGACGGGGCCCATGAAATAACAGGGCCTCCGTCTTATCTAGGGCCACCCGTAAGCCCAGCGCCTCAATGCGCCCGACCACCAGGGAGACTCCCCCTGTGGCCAGGCGCGCCGCCTCTTGGAAGTTTGCCCCCCGGGCTGTCACCAGGGTATCGTCTGCGTAACAGATTACACCCAGCCCGGGGGGGAAATCGGCGCGAAGGGCCCAGTCGTACCCTATGTTCCACAAGAGGGGTCCAAGAACAGACCCCTGTGGAACACCGCACGACATGGGCCGACTCCTCAAATTACCTTCTCGGTCCTCGTACACGACGGTACGCTCCTCTAAGTAGTCTGCCACTAGCCGCCTCAGGTACTTTGGCACCCCATGATAGTGGAGTGCTTCCCTGATGCAGCTGAATGGCAGACTATTGAATGCGTTGGCGATGTCTAATGACACCGCCAACAGCACGCCGCCACAGCTCACGGCCTCTTCGGTCACGGCCCTCAGGCGCAACACGGCGTCGACTGTCGAACGCCCCGCCCGAAAAAAACCTATACCAACCCGTCTGGCCAGCGTGGTATAGTAGGCTAAAACCTCCTTTCTAAGGAGAGGCATATGTCCAGCAGTGGACTATCAAAGGCTGTTGATGATGATGATGAAAACTTAATAAAATATATATACTGGTATTAATATTTTTCATTGACTATTGCCTAAACAATTTTTATTGTATGGGTTTTTTACTATTATATTTACAGAATAAAATATCTTATCGTTATGATATAGATTTATAAAATAATCTCACCTAGTCTGCCCGTGCTTCCCTGATAGACACACTGCCCATCAGCCAAGGTGTACAAATGGTCAAACATTTCGAACAGTCGGGCAGAAGGTTGATGGATAGTACATATAATAGTCCTGCCTCCTCTTGCTAAGGTCTTCAGGAGGGAAATACATTGGAAACAGGACGAGCTGTCCAGCCCTGACGTAGGCTCATCGAAGAACATGATGGGAGGATTGTTAACCAGCTCCAAGGCGATGGACAGACGTTTCTTCTGACCTCCGGAGAGATTTGATGTCATGGTTTTGTGGTGCTCTGATAAGCCAAGAGTCTCAAGGATCTCTTGAATCTGGAATAAAATTATACATGAATAAAGAGAAAACAAAAACAATGAGCGGGTTTACAGGAGTTGCATATGATGTGTAATATGAATATCAGAGGGCAAGAATATCTCGTAATAAAAGTTCGGTTAAAATTCAGTTCCGATCAGCTCTTGATCTCGCTACTGTCATAAAAGGTATTTCGGTAGTAAAATAGTAAAGTATTACTAAGACTAATCTGTAATATGAATACCAGAAGGCAGATTCTCGTAATAAAAGTTCGGTTAAAATTCAGTTCCGATCAACTCTTGATCTCGCTACTGCCATAACAGGTATTTCCGTAGTAAAATAGTACAGTATTACTAAGACTAATCTGTAATATGAATACCAGAAGGCAGATTCTCGTAATAAAAGTTCGGTTAAAATTCAGTCCCGATAACTTTTGATCTCGCTACTGTCATAAAAGGTATTTCCGTTGTAAAATAGTAAAGTATTACTAAGACTAGTAGACTACCGATTCAGTTTTTGGTTACAATAAGATATAATCACTTTACAGTCAACGTTGGATTTTTTAATACTTTACTACGAACGAATATCTTTTATGACAGGTTGTAAGATTTGATCGAAACTGAATTGTGACACATGTGAACATTTTTACAATTTTATAATAAATTCGTTGGTCAAAAAAAAAATTGCCAGCTTCCCCGGATTGCTGTTACACACTTCGGTCGACAGGAAAGATGTAACACATCAAAAAATTAAAATGGATTTTAAAATTGTGTGTAATATAATTAGCGAATTAAACCGTATAATTAAACATACTTTTTATGTCCCATAAATTTACTAGGCCGAACTGCACCGTTGATATATGGGTATACATCGAATAAAAAAAACGTTTTCATAAACAGCATCTGAGAACCGTCGGTCAGGTATTTATATGTAGTTTATCCTCGTTTTAAAAATAAAAAACTATGCATAAAACGACGCAGGATCTTCCTCATTGTTAAAGTTTAGATGGATTTGTGTAATCTTATTTTTATATATTTAATATTTTTTAGGTTAGGTATTTTTTATGTTGGGACTTTGGTGACTTTCCTTAATCTGTTTATGAAATCCGTTTTCATTCCATTTAAATTATTTTTAATAATTTCATCACTGAATGAAATATTTACAAAATCGATATCAAATCATTTTGCAAAAAAAAAGATGAATTATATTAACTTTTTGGAATTTCACGAACACGCGTTGTTGCCAATAAGCTGTTTTCAGACGATGCATGAATACCCTATTTAACAATAAATCTAGTAACTATTTTATTATATATAGCTACCATTCCCTACATAATATTTAAAAAAATAATAGATTTTACTGTTAAATGGCGTCTTACCAACCTACCTAGCAACCCTACGTACGCAAAAATCTAATGATAAATCACATTTCACTGTTATTTTCTCCCATGTCTAATGGTCCCGAAAGAATAGCTCACCAGCATCACACCGGTCGAGTTGGTATGGCATATCCGAGAGAAAAAATAAATAGTTCACATACCACTTCTTCTTTAGCAGCAGTAGTGGTAGCACTTGGAAGCTTCAACGCTGTGGCTACCGACATGGCCTCTTCGACCGACAGGTTACCGTGCAGCTGATTGTCCTGCATTATGTAACAGGAAAGTTTTCGGAAGCTAGACAAATTGCGCTCCATACCGTTCACCGTGATGCTGCCTTCCATTCCTGACGTTCTGAGAAAAAAGAAAAATGGTTAAGAATAGGTTTAGATTTGAAGATCGTAAATGGGTGACAGGGTACGAATGTTGTTCGTGTGGTGATGGATTAAGAATACGGAGTGTCGCCACCCACATTCATTTCGTGTGTGTCGTAAGAGTCGACCAACGGAGCCAACTACGCAGGACAACAGCACATGAGAGCAAAGAGAAGGAAAACTTTAAACAAACCCTATACCAACCCTTTTGGCCAGCCTGGTATAGAAGACCAAAACCTCTATTCTAAGAAACGCCAACGTCCTGCAGTGGACTATAAAAGGCTGTTGATGAACGAGTATAATATTATCATGTTGAATGCAGTAACAATATCTTGAATAACTATTTCATTGGGTGTTGTTTGGTTAAAACGTAACATTCAGGGTTAAACATTACACAATGGTATCCAGACCTGCTATGGTTTCTGGAACACACTTAACTATAGGACAACTTTATATGAATAAATACAAAGTAGACATAGATATACCCAATGATATCATATTACACAATCAACGCTCAAAACGCAAGGGTCCTAAGTAGGACCACTGCGAGCGAGCACACGTACTAATTAATTCGAGAAAATTCATCAAATGCGGTCCTGTGTATTCCGAAAGTGCACAAATTACGATAAAAAGGTAAATAACGATAAAGGAATATCATACCACAGGTAAGTATATGTTTTGTTCTAAAATGCATTAATATATGTATGTACGGTTACGGAACAAATATTTTGTGCGTGCTGTATGAATATAACGTATCTTCCTTAAAATATCATTGGATACACCCAAACTAATAATAAATAAACATACAAGTATTTGCGTTGAGCGGGAACGAGCCTTGGAACCTTGGTCGTTGCAGTGGAATGCAATGCCGATGCGACATGTAGGTCCTCAAATACATATTGTGTTCGAATTACCCAAATAACTGCTAATTAGTTTATTATGTTAATTTAATTTAAAAAACATATATTTCATATGTAAAATACGTTTAATTAAATGTGCACTCATTAATGGTCTGAATAAATTATAAAATAATAATTTAATTATGTGTAAATCTTATTAAAAATATTTGGTATTAATTTTAACATGAAATATTGCATTTTATTTTAATTAGGTATACGTCATTGTGATTAAGCCAGAGTATTTGACAGATATTTACAAAAGTGTTCACAATCAGAACATTTAATATCAATAAAGTATGTACTTACAATCGAAACTTAATAAATGAATGCCTTTAGTAGGCAGCGTAGTTTATTAAATTATTGAATCACAATTTTCACTGTACTCTGGATAATAATTTATATTTCTAATGAAACATAAAGCTAATTCGGAAAATGATTACAATACATTTCACGTATTAATAAAACATTCATTGATATTGTTTTTGAAAATTTTAATATTTTAAGGATTCGTGTGGTGGGTTTAAGAATACAGAGTGTCACCACTCCTAATAATTCCGTGGTTGTCTTATTACTCGACTTGAATCTTTTTTTTTCCTCCTTTATAACATTATGTGGACCCTAAAATTTATAATTTGTTTATTTACAATGATCCTCTCACTCCTAATGTGGCAGCAACAGGATTCTTTAACACATTGTCGATCTTTACATTTATTGGAATGCGATTTGTAATATCGAAATATAAGCTTTTTATATCTGAACGTTAACGTAGCAAATTCTTTGTAAATTCGTCTATCTGTCTGTGTACCGTTTACTCCGCTAAAACGGATAGTAGTCGGAGTAAACAGCCATACTGTCTGTATAGTCAATGGCAGATAGCTGGTATTATCAAGTGTGACTAAGGCGCTATCTCACATCTTCGACTGATAAATTTCATCTTCTTAAGTAGTTTTCTAAACATGATTAGTAAGCGAGTGAGTATCTTTGGCTTTCATATACACAGAAAAAAAATTATTATTAATAGAATTTTCTAGAGGAAACTTCACCATGTTTTACAGTTTTGCCCTCTATCAAAGGTAGTAGCGCTAAAAACCTTTTAATCCCCTACTATACATGTTTCCATTTGTCAAGTGATTTGCTTTCTTTCTTGTAAGCAAATAAATTCGTGAATTGGATCAAAATATATATTTAAATATAGGACGCAATATATAACGATGGCAAAGTGCCAATAACTTGTAACTGAGGAAATAAAGATTATAAGGAAACTGGTAAAACTTTTCATCACACCTGATCCTCATCTCCACAAATTGAACATTATTCAATGATAATCAGATATGTGGTTCTTTGAGAGCTTTTTTGTATCCGTCAGCCCCCTACCGAGCGGACGGTTAAATAAAAAACGTAGGTACCTATTTGAAGTAATTTTAATGCGTAAAAAATCTGAGAGAGAGAATTAACAGCTTCGCTTCCCAACAGATATATTTAAGCGATGATTTTTTCCAACATAAGCATCTCAGTACTGAGGGTTTAAGAGATGTCTACTTATAAGCCCCAAACAAATAGCACTATTTTTTGTACATTTTATATGAGAGTCCTATATAGTCATTTGAAGGGTTTTTAAAACATATTACAAGTTGCATCACACTTACACAATTTTCACATATATATATGGCTTTGGTCTTAAAACTTATACTAGAGTAAGTTACAGTACACTTCTCAGTGTAATTTCTCACTTCTTCTGAAGGTCAATTCTCGTAAGTAAAGTTCGGGTACAATTCAGTTCCTATCAACTCTCGATCTCGCAACTGTCATAAAAAGTATTTTCGTAGTAAAATAGTAAGGTATGACTAAAGACTAGCAGACAACCGATTCAAGTTTCAGTTAAAATACGATATAATCATAACGTTCAACGATGGATGTAATACGTTAATACGAAAAAACCGTTTATGACATCGGGAGTTAATTGGAACTGAATTGTGACCGAACTTATATTACGAGAATTGGCCTTCTGAAGTGAGCACTTCAGGTCTACTCTGAATATCATCTGTGATCTGTACTTGTCTCTTTAATAGTAAAGGGACAAGTACAGATAACAGAGGATATTTTTTTGTTTTGCACAGGCCACAATCATCATCATCATCAACAGCCTATACTTGTCCACTGCTGGACATAGACCTCTATTTAGAAAGGAGGTTTTGGCCTACTATACCACGCTGGCCAGACGGGTTGATATAGGGTTTGTTTCAAGTTTTCCTTCTCTTTGCAGTGCTGTTGTCCTGCTTAGTTTGCTCCCTTAGTCGGCTCTTACGACACCCACGGGATGAATTGGGGTGGTGACAATTTGTATTCTTAATCCGTCACCACACGGAAAAGCACACAAATGCACTGGAAATATGACGTGAAGAAGGTAGCCGACCCGAACTGGATAGGCTTCTCACAAACGATTTCTACAATTCTATGCGACGCAGATTCAAAATAATCATGTCATATCGTTGTTTTCTGTGTGCCAACCACACACACTTAAACACGACTATATGCAAGTGTGATCATTACTATTGTAACAGCTCCATAGTTATAGGTATAGTGCAATTGTCTTATAGTGTCAAGGGATTACGTAAGGAAATCGTATAGTACCCATACCGTGAGTGGTCCGTATTAACTAGGTTTTTGTAGTGTTTTCTCTATTGTTGCATTTTAAGAGAATAATCTTACTTATTTTCGAAACCGAGTTAAATAAATAATGATATAGGTATTTTAAACACTACATTATAATTATGACAGTCTGAACAAATATTACCCACACTAAAAACTGTATTATTCATCTTGGAAGAACAATGGCAGAAACATATTTATTAACAGTAAACTAAATAAAATAAAAACTATGATTTATCATTACACCACCATGTTTTGTATAAGTCTTATGAGAGATAAGATATTTTTTGAAGATTTAATTTGACCTAAGTACGTAATGTCAGATTCGCCATCACGTATAACTGACTAGGGATGCGTGATGGCATTATTGTATTATGGAACGATTTATCGATAGTCGACTTTTATAGCTTTGGCTGAAATATCTATCGAAGATTCACCTATTATGATTATGAGTTTGCTTATGCACACGGCTTCACTCGTACGGTGGAGTGACTAAATCAACATAATTAAAAATAGTTTAGAATATTTTCAACTCTTTTTAAACGATTTTGACTATACTAAATAAATAGAACACAGTTAAGTTATTTTGCGACGGAAAAAATATACACTGTATACACAATAATGTCTTCGGCACATAAATATACATACATTGATATTTTCAAAATGTCGATTCGCCGTCTTTTGGATCCTTTTGAGTTCCGCACTCACCAATCATGTGGTTTGACACACTTACCTGGCCATTGTTAACACGGCAATTGTTTGTTGTTTTTTTTTGTTCAATTTAGTGTTAATCTTGAATAGATGTTATGTTTTTCTATTTTTAATGTCATATGGTGTTACTCTATTATGTATGACGCCTTTAAATGTTGTGCATTAATCTCAATATAATGGATGCATGCTTTAGATTTTGGTAAATAATATAACAACTTCTAGCTAGCTAAATTCTGCCTTGTGTAAATGAGTATTGAAGTACAATTATTCGAATTATTATTATTAATTTATTTATTATTGATTTATTAATTTATAGCTGGTGTTACACCTGCTTGGTAAGACTTTTTCTATTGTTTTACCATGTATTGGTAAAATAACCTTCACCCTGTTAGAGAGTCGGCTAACACTGTCAACAACAAAATAGAGTTGTTTATGAGTAATAATAATGACAATTATATTTTCAGCTATCTGACACACAACGCTATAATTTGTGGATCACACAAAATGTTGTCCCATGTGGAGATCGAACCCATAACAGTCAGCGTAGTAGGATGCTGCGTGGCGACCGCTTAAACTACTACGCCATACGTGTAGTCTTTACATACGCGGGCAAATCCAAGTTGGGCACAGCTAATATACTGTATAATAAATATAGAAATAGTTTATCCTATATGTGTCTATATAATATACATTTATGAGCATAAATTTGTGACCTAGTTGA